AACAAGTGGTCATGGAGGGCTGAGAAATGATGGATAATTGTACTGTAAGTGAATTACACTTGGTCAAATAATTCCCAAGGAAAACTTACAAAATCACTTTGTATTATTTTATAAAACTGAGTTATATTTAATATAGATATGCTATGCATTTTAATGTTTGAGAAGCCGTGGGAAGAAACTTCTAAAAGTAATAGCACCTCATCCTAGGAAAGTCTTAAAGTGCTCTTTGATGTAATTAGCTTCATCGTAATGATTAAGGAAGGATCTGCAGTTTCCAGGTCATGCTAGTTCACTGACCCCCAATTTCTCCTAGTCAAATCCCCAACTTCCTTCCCTATTCTCCCCCCCAAGCCTACCTGGGCCCAGGTACAACAAGGATGTTTGTGTTTGTGTGGTCAGGCAAGGTGAACATTCCCTAGCTCCCCTCTTCCTCTTCACTCCACTGGCCCTCAGGACCCTTCCTGACCCTTGAAAGCTCCATCCAGAAAGGAAACCGGCTATGCACCATACTACCACAAGATGGCGCCACAACCTCAGGCTGGGCCTTGGTGGGTTCTAACAGGAGAGAGACCCAGGAGCTTAAGGCTGCCCTGGGAGGCTTTTGGGTGCCCTTCCCCAGGCTTCTTCTTTTCAGGGGTGACTCTGGCTGCTCCAGGGTGACTTTCAAGGTTTGTTTTACTGCTGTGGCAGGCCTCACAGTTTGGATGCCCATGGGGTCCAGAAGCCAGCAGGGAGCCTCAGGCCTCCTTTGGGGCAGGTTTCTCTCATCCTAAGCTCTAAGGCCAAAGTTGGGATGGAGTGTGAATGGGACCAGAGTCCTATGGCCCCCAAACAACTCAAGAGCCTTGCCATCTTTCCCCACTCACCGGCCCAGCCTTCCTCTCCAGCTCCATCTCTATTACAACTTTCTCCTGAGGTTCTGCTTCTCTCTTGCTCTGTGTCTCTCTGCTCTCACTCTGTCTCTGCCTCTCTTCTGTCTCCTACTCCCTGGCTCTGCCCTGGCTCCTTGTCATTTTGTCTTTTCTCATTTACCCCCCCATTTACTCTCTCTCTCTCTCCTTTCTCCCTTCTCTCCCTTTTTCCCTTTCTCCTTCCTTCTTTCTGTCCCTCCCTCCTTCTGTCTTTTGCAAATATCCAAGACTTCTTCATCATAATCAGCAAGTTAATTTTAAAAACCAGTTGATAGTGCCCATTAAATTGCAGATGGAAGTCCAGCAAAAGCAGCTGGAGTTCCAGCTCCCTGCAGAGGCATCAGGCACTGGTGGGCAAGCCCTCAGGGCTTGGAAGAGTGTCATCTTCAACCTCCCTCTCTCCTCTCTCTCTTCCACCCACCTCTTTCCTGAGTGGGGTAGGATTTGGGGCTGCATGAGTAGGGCCCCACCCAGCCCCATAGGGTGGAGTCAGACTTGGCAGAGCAATTGGAAGCCCCAGGATCTTGATATCCTTTTTATTCTAAGCCAATCCCGCCTCCCCTTGGCCCTTCCTAGGAGCCATAAGACAGCTCAAGAACCAGCTACAAATCCCTCTGGGAAAAGTGTCTCTGGGCCTACTGGGCCTCCGTCTTCTGATCTGTGACGTGAGCCAGTAGACTGATACTCTCCTGCTCCTTTCCTGTTCTGTTCCCTCAAGTTCTCCCAGACTATCACCCACCCCTGCCTCATGGCCTCAATTAACACCAACTGCCTCCTCACCAGTCTTGATGATATTGGCCTTTGATCATTACTAAAAGATTTGCTGTCATGGCTGGGCTTCTCTTGGCACAGGATAAGAATCAAGAGCCACCCAGAAAGAGCCAGACATTGGCTCCTCGCAGCCTCCACCCTCCAATAAATAAATTTCCTCAGTCCCCTCATCCCTCTCACTTCGTGGATTTTGGCTGGGAGGATCTACAGAGGGGCTGACCCAGGTTGGGCCCTGTCAGCAACCCAACAACTAAGATTTTGCCATTAGCATTTTGTCCCCTTGAAACTGTTCCGATTAATAAACATCCCAGAGCCTGGGGAATACAACTGAACTACAAAGATTTTCCATTTGCACTCAGATATTACCCACCCCCATATTTCCTCCCTTCTTTCTCCAAGACAGGGTGTCACTCCTTTGTCCCTTCTCCAGGGCTCAGAACCCAGTTCCTTCTCTTCCTCTCGAAAGTCACTGTCTTCTCTTTTCTTTCCTCCCACTCCGCTCCCAGGGGGCTGGCTCTTTCCTCTCACTCAGTAATGCCCCACTGTGGGGAGCCATTCTGACACGTGACTGGGCGGCTCCCGTTAAGGGTCTGAGGCGTTCTGGCTGTGTCGGAACTTTCCCGGCCCTTTCCTGATGAGAGAACCCATCCATGTGGGGGTGTGACTGACCACTGACCCCGGGGGCCCAATCACTGACCCTGACCTTGGAGTGCAGTCCCCCCTCAACCTTCATTGGATGGAATTCTCCCCTGAATCTCTTGTTCCCCAATAAAAAGCTACTCCCAGGCGTGTTCTCTCTCTCTCTCCTGCTAGCCCTGAGTAATCCTTGCTGCCCTGCTGGGCGGTTAGAGGAGGGAACCAGAGAGGGGAGCCGTCTCGGACCTGGCAATAGAAATAAGGTAACTGAGTCTGTGTGTTTTATTTCCATCTCTTCTAGCTAACTTTTATGCCAAAAACCTCATTAATGAAACCATTGCGCAGGCCGCATGGTGGACCCCACACTCCATTCACCTGGCAATGCCTTCCCCCACACTCGCCAATGTCATGAGAAAAGACAAGGCATTTTAAAGATCAAAAAGAAGGGCCAGGGATATAGCTTAGTTGGTAGAGTGCTTCCCTCACATAAACATGGCCCTGGGTTCAAGCCCCAGCACCACAAAAAGAAAAAAAAAATCAGAAAGAACAGGCAAAGTTTCCGCCATTTATAGATACTATGCCTACGCACCAAAGATGAAATACTAGAAATAAAATTTTAAAATTGTAAGTTATGGGGCTGGGGTTCTAGCTCAGTGGTAAAGTGCTTGCCTCCCATGTGTGAGGCACTTAGCACCACATAAAAATAAATAAAGATACTGTGTGTTGATCTACAGCTAGTAAATATTTTTAAAATAGTTAAGTTACTAAGATGCAAAATTACTTTGGAGTAGTCAATTGCATTTTGATCAGATAATACACTGGAAGAAAAGACCTAATAGATAGCTGCATCAGAAAAGATAAAGTATCTAGGAATAAACTTAATAAGCAATGTTCAAAATCAATAAAAACAGCATTTTAAAATTTCCAAAGGACACAAAAGAAGAAATAAAACCACATCGTGTTCATGAATAGGAAAACATAATGTCATAAAGATTGCAATTTTCTGAGTTATTCTACAATTTCACGTGATCCCAATAAACATGTCAACATTTTTTTTTTTTAAACTAGACTAGGGCACTGGGGTTGTGGCTCGGTGGTAAAGCGCTTGCCTGGTAAGGCACTGGGTTCGATCCTTGGCACCACATAAAAGTAAATAACTAAAAATAAAGATGTTGTGTCTATCTACAATCAAAAAAAAAAATCTAGCCTGAGCAGTTCTGAATTTCATTTAAAAGGCAGGAAGACCTTAAAAGCATTAAAAATAATTAATCCTACAAAAAGTAGTCCTAAAACATGGATAAACAGGGCTGGGGTTGTGGCTCAGTGGTAGAGCACTCACATAGCACATGCGGGGCCCTGGGTTCAATCCTCAGCACCACATATAAATAATGGTATTGTGTCCAACTACAACTAAAAAAAAAATTTAAATAAAAAAAGAGAACATGGATAAACATTAGCCTAATGGAACAGGCAGAAACCCATAGTAGTCCCATAAACAGAAATACATGGTGCTAAAAAAAGAAAATGTATTTCCAGCAGATTTTGGTGGCACACATCTGTAATCCCAGCAGCTTGGGAAGCTGATGCAGGAGGATCAAAAGTTCAAAGCCAGCCTCAACAACTTAGCAAGGTTCTAAGCAACTCAGCAAGACCCTGTCGCTTAATAAAATACAAAAAAGGACTAGGGATGTGACTCAGTGGTTAAGTGGCCCGAGTTCAATCCCCAGTACCAAAAAAAAATGTAGACCCATATTTTATACTTTGTGTTCATTTAAGTTCTAAATGGGTCAAAAAAGAGAAAGAATGAAAATACACATAATTTGGGCTGGGATTGTGGCTCCGCAGTCAAGTGCTTGCCTAGCACGGGCAGGACCCGGGTTCGATCCTCAGTACCACATAAAAAAAATAAAGGCATTGTGTTGTGTCCATCTACACCTAAAAATAAATAATTTTTTTAAAAAAAGAAAGTACACATAATTCTTTAATGGTCTCAAAATGGAATTGCTGCCGGGTGCAGTGGCACATGCCTATAATCCCAGAGGTTAGGGAGGCTGATGCAGGAGGATCATAAAGCCAGCTTCAGCAAGACACTAAGCATCTCAGTGAGACCATGTCTTTAAATAAAATACAAAATAGGGCTGGGGATGTGGCTCGGTGATTGAGTGCCCTACTCCCCTAATAGAATGACTTTTCTTCCTTCCTTTTTTTTTTTGCAGGGCTTTCAGATTGCTAGGCAAGTGTTCTACCACTGAGCTATATTTTCAGGTGGGTCTTTTTCTTATGTCTTAATCAAGAGCCATTTTAATTTAAATTTAAATTAGCCATTTAATTTCATGGAAATATACCATAAGCAAAGTCAAAATACAAACCAAAAATTGATTAAAAAATTTACAACTTATATCAAAAGCCACTTTTTTCAAGACTGGGGATATAGTTTAGTGAAGAGTGCTTGTCCAGCATGTAAGAGGCCCTGGGTTTGTGCTACAAAAAAGAGAAAAGAACCCCAACTGAAAAGTACTCAAATATCTATCAGTACATGAATGATGATGAAGAATGAACGTGCTTCTATCCATACAAGGGGATATTGCTTAACAATAACAAAGACCCAACTACAGACACACATGGTAACATGTATGATTCTCAAAACCATTACAGTGGCAGAAAGAAGCTAGACACAAAGAGTACATACTATATGGTTTCATTTATGACATTCTAGAAAGGCAAAGATAATCAATAGTTACAGAAAGCAGATCAGTGATCACCTGGGGCTGGGACTATCCAGGCCCTCAGGGACAAGGGGGAACTTTAGTGGATGGGAATGTTCTGTCTCACTGTAGTGCATGGCAGTTACCCAGGTGTTCACATTTGTCAAAACACGTCAAATGACACATTTTATTACATGTAAATTTTACCTTCTTTAAAAATAGTAAATATATGCTACATTTTTTCTGGGACTGGAAAGCCAACTCTTTTTTTTTTTGGCACTGAGGATTGAACCCAGAAGCTACTGAGCTATATCCCTATCCCTTTTTATTTTGCAACAGGGACTTACTAAGTTCAAGAGCTAGCCTCAAACTTGGGATCCTCCTGCCTCAGGCTCTGCCAGCCCCCAACTGTTAAAATGTAACAAACAATTGAACAATAAACAAAAAACTAAACCAAGACTCCATTTATTCACTTACCAGACTGCCCCCCCCAAAAAAATCCCAAAAGTTTATTAACACAGTGTTGACATGGTTATGAGAAAAAAAATACTCTCAATCACTTATGATGGGTATAATTCCTAACGAGGGGATTTTGGCAATATTTATTAAACTACAAATACTTTGACCCAGCAGTTTCATTTCTAGGATTTCATCCTACAGATAAAGTCAACCATAGGTGAAACTACCTGTTAAAGGTTAGGGACTGCAACAATGTTCAAAGTAACACAAAGCAAGAATGAGCCAATTGTCCCCAGATATAGGACAGGTTAAATAAATGACACATCCACACAATGGAATCCTGTGTAACTACAGAAAAGAATCAGGAAAGTCTGTGTGTGCTAATATGAAAAGATTTTCAAGGGTAATGTTAGATGTACAAACAAGCATTATGTTTGGTATGCTGCAATTTGTGTAAAAACAGCATCAACAAAAGCCCAGAGGGATGTCTGTTTGGATTTTCTTAGGTACTGTATGTAAAAACAAACTGCAGTGACCCAGCACGTAATCCCAGTCATTCTGGAAGCTGAAGCAGGAGGATCAAAAGTTTAAAGGCAGCCTCAGCAATTTAGTGAGGCCCTAAATAATGTAGTAAGACCTTGTCTCCAAATAAAATACAAAAAAAGGGCTGGGGATGTGTCTCAGTGGTTAAGTACCTCTGGAGTTCAATCTCTAGTGCCAAAAACCAACCAACCAACCAAACCAGGCTCAGGTGGCACACTCCTGTAATCCCAATTATTCCCAAGGCTGAGGCAAGAGAATGGCCGAAAACAATTTAGCAAGACCCTGTCTCAGAATAAAAAATAAGCTGGGTATAATGGTGCACGCCTATAATTCCAGCAGCTCAGGAGGCTGAGGCAGGGGGATCACAAATTCAAAGCCAGCCTCAGAAACTTAGCAAGGCTCTAGGTCATACAGCCAGACCTGTCTCACAATTTAAAAAATATGAAAAGGACTGAGGATGTGGCTTAGTGGTTGAGCACCCTTGGGTTCAATTCCTGGTTAAAACAAAACAAAATAATAATAAAAAAAAAACAAAAACCTGAAAGAACCACCAAGAAACTAATATCGGGGAAAATCCATATGAAAAAGGTGTGGGGAAGAGTATAGAGTTGTGTGTGAGGGACAATTCTTTTAATTTTTGAATCATGTGAATGTGTTACCTATCCAAAATGAAAATACTTATTTAAAATTAACAACAAAGGCTGGGGTTGTAGCTCAGAGGTAGAGCACTTGCCTGGCACGTGTGAGGCACTGGCTTCAATCCTCAGTTCATGTAAAAACTAACTAAATAAATAAAGATATTGTGTCCATCTACAACTAAAAACTTTTTTTTTTAATTTATAAAATAAAATAAACATCAAAGCCAGGCCTGTTTATCCCAGGTACTGGGTAGGCTGAAGTAGGAGGGCTGAAAGTTCAAGGTCAACCAGGGCAAGAGCCTAACTCCAAAAATAAAAAGGGCTGGGGATGCAGCTCAGTGGTAAAGTGCCCCTGGGGTCAATCCCCAGTGGTGCTAAAAATGAAAATAAAATAGCATATTATATGTTGGTACATTAACTAGAATAGTGGATCATCATCCAAGTTATTTGAAGGAAAATGTATCAAGTGCCTAGTCCAGTATAGGGACATATTCAGCACATAAACAGGGTAATTACTGTTTCTATGCATCCCCTACAAAGTCCCTGCACACAACCTCTCTTACTTTTGGTTTCAGTTCCCCAGAAGTGCCAGCCTGCTTTTTCCATCTGTGCTCTGCCAGGGACTTCCCCTCTGCAGGGTGAATTTCCCATCTCTTCTCAAGGTCCACATGGCAGCAGTCTCAGGCCTGGCCTCCTCAGGGAAGCCATTTAGGTGGCCTTGGCCCTCCCTCACGTGTGGATTGCAAGGTCTGCTTGGTCCTCCTAGCCCAGGGGCCTTTGAACCTCAGGCTCCTGTTCCTATAGTGCTGGCCTTGCCTCCTTTCACAGGGTGGAGCCGTGGCTGGTGGTGGCAGGCCTTGCCCTCCACCTAGACATCTGGAAAAGTTTCGGTTTCCCCTAAAATTTGTTGATCTTCCCACACCCATGGAGAAAACCTGAGGAGTTTCAGTTTCTCTCAAGTCATGATCTCATTTTCCTCACTGCTCCCCCTGGTCCCTGCCAAGAGATAGTGCCAGCTTCCATGGTGAAGATGCCTGGTACTCCCAGGGCACTTGCCATTACATGTGTAGCAGCCATGGAGGCATCTGCGGGTGAATTGTGCTTACTTGGAGCTCACGTCCCAGCAAAAAGGTACAGCAGCAGACAGTGGGGAATAGGCAGTGACAGTTGAAAGAGGGGAGACAGGCAGAGGCAGAGGAGCAGCCCTGCTGGGCTTCGGGGGCAGCAGTGTGGCCAGTGGGGACTTTGGAACTGAGTCCTAGAAGGAGAGCCTTGGACAGGCCCACGAGAGGCCTCTAGGTGAGCAGAGAGGGGTAGCCAGGAGCGGCAGGCTGGGGCTGAGGAGGGCCCCGCAGCTGAGATCCAAGTTCCATGACTGCAGCTGTAAGGGACATGCTAGACTTGAAGAAGGCACCCCAGGCCAGGCAGAAGGCCCGCCAAGGAAGTGTCTGGCACCAGCAGGGAGAGGGGCAAACTGGATGGGCCCTGGTGCCAAAGAAAAGGGCCCCAAAGGAAAGGGCCCCAAAGGAAAGGCCTGGTGCCAGAGGACAAGCTGAAGGCTGTTCCTCAAGGAGGCAGCTCTGGTTTTTGCAGTTTGGTTTTGGTTTTCCCCCTACAAGTCTGTCCAGGAAGCGAGATTCGTTTCTTAGCACTGGAGAGTCAGAGGCCCCTTCTCTGTGAGCTGGAGCACTGGAGCACAAAGCTGGCTGGGCCAGGGCCAGGACTGGTTGCCTGTTTCCTTCTCTTCAGCAGAGAAGTTGGGCAGCAGTTGGCAGTGCCCCAACTCCCCTCTTGAATGTGATGAGCCCCTCACCTTGTCCTGTATCAAGTTAATGTTTGTAGAACCACGCCCCTCTTTCCTGATCAACCTGTATCCCCAAATATAAAGAACAGAAAGAAGCCCTGGGCCCCGCATATTGGGGCTTTGAGACTCAGGAGGAAGAACTACAGGTATCCAGACACTCTAGGTCAGCCTCCAGGGCCTAGGTCCTTCCTGGGCTGGTAGCAGAGGGGCATCACCTTGCAGCCCTCCTAGCCCACCCTATACCCCCATAGCCACACTTCACTTCTTCTCTGCTCCACATTGGAAACACCACATTTATTTGTCAGAGTCTTTTAAACCTCTAGTAAGACGTACAGGAACAGCAGGGCTCTCCTGCATGCTGCCCTGGCCCAGCTCATCAGGCATGCAGGATGGAGCTGGCAGATGAATCAAGGTGTCTTCAGGAGTGGGGCCATAGAAGCTGCAGGCCCTGCAGTCCCATGCCCTCCCCCACCAGCTTGGCCTAGACTGCAATCAGGAAGGTGGGCCCAGCCCAGTCCTGTTGCAGGGGCCTCTTACAGGGAGTTGCCTTCCCTCTCCCTCCCCCACCCTCTTAGATCCCCTCAGCTTGTAGCCTGAGCCATGCACTTTGATCCTTCACATAGGTACCACACCAGCTGCCATCAGGCTGGTTCTGTGTGTCCTGGCTCTCCTGTCAGGGAGTCGGCTGGACAGGGCAGTCCTGGCTCTCCTGTCCTTACTCTGTGTAGCCAGCTCAGGGCTGGGCACTTGGTGGGGGCAAAGGCCTGTCAAATAACCACTGCAGGCAGGAACTCCCAGCTGCTGCTGGCCCCCAGCCTCCATCCATGGGCTCCTGGTTGGCCCTGAAACTCTTCAGGGCCTCAACTTTCTACAGTGCAGATCAACACCTCCTCCTTCAAGAAGCCCCCTAGCTTAGTGCCAGACTTGAGGCTGGGCAATGGATGGTCAGCCAGGGCTGCTACTTCAGGGCCCTTAGGACTGCCTCCAGCTTCATGGCCACTGCCAGGTCGCCCTTCACCTTCAGTCGCCCACTCATGTAGGCCCCCAGGGGCCGCAGCTCCCTGCACAACAGAGCCCGCAGGTCTGCCTCAGCCATCTCCACCACCACGTCGGGGACACCTTCAGGAACCCCATGTCCCACCCTGCCTCGCCCTGTAGGTGGAAAGAAAACTGAGCATTAGTAGGGATGTGGGACAGACAGCTATGGAGGGAAGAAGAAGTTAGCATGTCCCATTGGAAGGAGCAAAGAATACTGGTTAGGAGTTTAGGTTCTAGGGCTGGAGTGTAGTTCAGTGGTAAGAGCACCTGGTTAGCATGCATGAGGCCCTGGGCTCCATCCCCAGCACATGTGCACACAAACAGTTTGGGTTCAATACCCTGGATTCTAATCCTATAGGCCACTTGGTGCCTCAGTGTGCAAATCTGTGAAGGGGATGATGAGCCCTAAATCAAAGCTGATGAGAAGTAGGTGACATAATGCACAAAAGTGCTCAGCACAGAGCCTGGCATGTGGCAGGCTTCCTGCCACATGAGGAGTTCACTCAGGGAGGTGACAGAACAGACTTACTTGGTATCAGCAGCCTGGCTGTCTCAATTGTCCTCCCACAGCAGAGAGAGCAAGGCCCAGAAAATTATTGTCTAGAAATGGTGTCAGAGCCCCTGACTGCCATGGGTTCATCCCCAAACTGTGGCAAGAGTAGGAAGCCTTGCTCCTACAGGGTATGTGGGAGCGGCCTAAAAAACAGCCATGGGATCAGGTGTATAAGCAACTGGATATGAGGGGGATGCGGGGCGGGCAGCTGCACCTGTGGTGAGATCCAGGAAGTAGATGTTCTGGGTGCCACTGGGAAGGATGACATTGAACTGGTAGCAGGCCCCAACCTGGCTGACCAGCACTTCAGACAGGAAAGGCTCCAGAGCAGTCAGCAGCCCCTCGGCCACAGGCTGCTTCAGGCCCTGAGATGCAGGTAGCTCCACTTCGCTCACCATCTCCAGAGTATCTGCTGGGGTGGCCAAAAGTGCTGGGGAGGGAGGCAGAGAGGCAGGTCAGTGTGTTCCCAGGGACAGGTGGCCTCTGCCTCTTTTGGCTTCTGATCAACTTGCTTCCCTGCCAGGAGGCTGCCCCCAGGTTTCTACCCTAAACACCCAAATCCTGTTTCTTAGCTGTTCCAGCTGAGATCAGATGTGAAGCCCTCTTTCCAGCTACTGCTATCTCCTCTCACGGTGGCTGCCACAGGCCTCTCCATACTCACACAACCTGGACTCTTCTCACTGCCCTAGCTTGGGTTGACCCTAGAATCAGTATGGGTCAAACAGACAGGCAGAGCGTGCACTGTGCTTGGAGCAAGTAGCGAAGTCAGCTCCATGCCAAACTGAACAGCACCTCCCTCCTGCTCCCCAGGTTCCTCACCTGGCCCAGCAGATGGAGTACCTCCTGCCACTGAGTTCATGCCCCCTCCCAGCAAGTGGAGGGCCAGCTGCTGGAGGGTGCTGTCCAGGCTGGACCCAGCTGGGCTGTCCTGGGGCTGCTGTAGCACGGCCTCCACTGCCAGCTCCACGCGGTCCACCTCTAGCCCCCAGGCCCTGGTCACATCGTTGATCTCCAGCTGAAGGACAGTGGGGAAGACATGGAATTCATGCAATAAACCTTTTCTGAGCACCTTCTTTGGGTGGGCCACTATGGCCACATGTGGACCTGGAGGTCCCACACCTGTCCTTAGGGAGCATAGGCAGGGGATGCTGACAGTCCAGCTGTGCAAGTGCTCAAACAAGGAGGAGGGAGGACTGGCAGCAGGGAGAGTGACACTGGCAGTGGGGGACTCTCCAGGTGGGGGACCTTCCAGGCAATAGGAACAGCATGCGCAAAGCCTAGAGAGGAGAACCTGGAAGTCTGGGCACTTCAAGCAGCCAGAGTTCCAATTAGTCAGAACCTAAAGTGTGGGCTGGGGGACCAGAGACAGCTGAAGTCTCAGAGGCAGCCTCCTCCTACTCACTTGGATTTCTTCTGAGGCAACAAGGACATCAGAGAGGAGTTCACTCAGGGAGGTGACAGAACAGACTTACTTTTTGGAAACACCCTCCTGGCTACTGTGTGGACACTGAATTGGATGGGCTGATGATGGAGGCTTGGGGACCAAACGTCACTGTTTCAAATTGCAGGAAGAAAGCAGACAGGTTTGGTGGAGGGAAGGAGGGTGAAGTGAAGCAGAGACTCACTGAGGGAGCACAACTCTGCCAACTGTGCCAAGCTGCAGCAGCCACAGGGCCATTTGGCTTATGGCTGCCTGGATGTGCCAGGGCATAGAGGACAGGGGAGGGGGAAGCAGGCTTCTGGTGTGGTTTTCCTGGGCTCATGAATATGGCATTCACTTAGAGACTCACACAAACAGGATGTGGAGAGGTGTGTGTGATAAGTGATCTTTTGTTTGTTTTTTAATTCTGAAAGTTTTGGGTGTCTGTGGGAGAGCAAGGGTCCCACAGGAAGCTGGATAAATGGGAGCAAGGTGCAGGAGAGTCAGACTGGACTGTGTGCCGTGAACAATAAGTGCCCAGAGGAAACAAATCCTGGGTGGCTGAGCTCTCCCAGAGAGGTGACAGATGAGAAGGGGACAGTGCAGGAACCTGGACAATGAAAGGCAGGAGAACCAGCAAGGTCAAGAGGAGCAGAAGAGGAGGAGTCACACACGCAAACACTGCCATCAGGTGAAGGAAGGGAAGGCTGAGAAGTGTCTGCTGGGCTGGGAAGAGGGAGGTCACCATGTCACCACAGCTATCTTAGGAGCTTGGGGGAAGCCTGACTAAGGATGGGATGAGAGAAATGGGAGTCTTCCAGAAGGGAAGGGGAGAGAGGTAAGAGCTAGAGGTGAAGCAGGCAAAAGGAGAATGTTTCTGTGCATTAAAGAGGGAAGAAAGAATAAAGAGACAGTGAACCTGAGTGGAGGGAGAGAGGGAAGGAAAGAGAGGGGGAGTCCTAGAGAAGGTAGGGCCCAGAGCACTGTCCTATGAAGAGATGAGCCTCAAGAAGGGCATGCAGGCAGGAAATGAGTAAGGAAAAGCATGCAGAAGGGTGTGGAGGTTGAAGCTGGAGGCCAAAAGATTCCTGTCTGAGAGTTTGTTTTTCTTTTTTTCTTGCATGTAGAGGCAGGATCTGCTGAAGAGTGATGGGGTGGCCAGGCTGCAGGAGGGCAGCAGAGAGGTGGAGCCACCTGAGAACACTAGCAGGTGAGCCACTGAGGAGGAGCCAGCAAGTAAGGGGCAGTCTGCAATCTCTTCAGAGGAAAAGTAGGCAAAAAAGAAATGAGATTGAAAATCCCTGCCTGAACCAGGGCTGGGGAGATTCTGCTTCAACCTCAGGTGCTGCCCTTGCTTTGCCAGGTGCCCACAGAGTATGGGCAATGGCCCTGAGTAACTCTCACATTACAGGATGGACTGCCCCTTTCACACCAGGGCAATTTTTAACAGGGCGCAGATCCACTTTTCTTTTCCTAAAGATAAATATAATGGAATATGGGTTTGATTTTTTTTGCTACTGGAAATTGAACTCAGGGGCACTCGATCACCAAGCCATAACCCCAGCCCTATTTTGTATTTTATTTAGAGACAGGGTCTTAGCGCCTTGCTTTTGCTGAGGCTGGCTTTGAACTCACAATCCTTCTGCCTCAGCTTCCTGAGGGTGTGAGGTTTTATGAATAAAAATATGTTATCAACTTATTGTCTGAATTGTATTAAATCAAACACGCTATTGAGGGTGGGGGATCAAGGGCTCTGGCTCTGGTCCAGCTCTTTGCGTGTAGGCAAGTGGGGAAGTATTGGGAATTGACCTCAGGGGTGCTCTCCTACTGAGCTACATCCCAGTCCTTTTTATTTTTTGAGACAGAGTCTTACTAAGTTGCCCAGGCTGGCCTCAAACTTGCCATTCTCCTTCCTCAGCCTCCTTGGCTGCTGGGATTACAGGTGTGCGCCATCATGCCCAGCCAGTTGTGGCTCTTAAAGGCAAGTTGAATCATTTCTGAGTCTGGGTTTCCACCCTCCAGTAATACTGGCCCTCTTGCTGCAAAAATGTGAAGATGAGATACTCTGGGGCAAGCACTGGGCTCCGTGAACCTTGACAGACAGAGTATGTAAGGGCTATTATTACGATCAGGAGTAACCTTCTGAGGAACTTCACCTAGCTGGCTGCTTGCTGACCTCCTTGATGGAATGAGCTGGGGATCTCCAGAACTGGCATTCATCCCACTCCCTCTCTGTCCTCTAATCCCATACCCCTGGGTTTAGATCAGAGTGGAGGGGAAAGAGGGAAAAGTTCTCTCATCTTCCTCCATGAGGACAAGCAAAAGGGAGGAAGCACAAGTTGAGTGTGGCTGTGAGGGACGTGCCACTGCTCCTGCACTTATGTTTATCCTATCTTTTAGAACAAAGAATTTAAGGTGAATTCCATGTAGATCATTTTTATATACAAGGAGAAAATCCAAGAAAAAGATCAAATGTCTCCATGTTTCTTTGTTCTGTTCCAAGCGAGAAAAATCAGCCCACAAAAATGCATATGCTCCCTTATGAGCACAGAACTCTCATCAGGGGGTTGGGCTGGAAGGGTCCCCCTCCTATCACCCACCACCCACCCTGAGAGTTGGGCCCTGACTCCAACAGGAACTGCAGAGGGCCCTGAGGCCTCATGTTGATGTCAGCAGTCAGAGGCAGGGCCCTAGGAGTTCCCGCACGGGTGCTTTCCTTTATTAGGACCACGTGTGCCCAGGATTACTATGACTAGGCTACCTTCTATTCCTCAACTCAGATCACTGGATCAGCAGAGGTGATTACACTCTTGGCACAAAAGGTAAACTAAAGTTAGAACAAACTGGTGTTTGCTCAAAGTGACCAGGTGCCAGCTCTGAGCTCTACCTTGTGAGGAGCCGCCTACCAGGAGCTGGTCGCTGATCTTGAGCTTCTCCATCTGAATCTCCCGCAGCGGCCTTCTGAGCAGGGCCTTGGTCATGGCATTCTGGGCTGTCATGCGCGTGGCTGTATTTAGGTCCTTTACAGTCATCACCGACAGCACTGGGTCCCAGATACGGAACTGGACATCAGCCCCCACAGACAGCACAGCCCCATCCTTAGAGGCCAACTGTTGGGAGTGGCCATGAGAGAGAAAGGACACTTAGGAGGCTGGGGCTACAAGGAGGTCATGCCCACTGGGACCACCCAATTTGACCCACCCACCTGGCAGATAACTCCTTAAAGGCAAAATGGTGTCCCCCAAGTACATGGGATCAGGTGTAAAGAGTGAGGATGCCCTCCTAGCTTTTACTTTGACTTTCTGTTCTCTTCTCCCACTCTCCCAGAAGGCTACTTTCAGGCCAATGCCCTAGCACCCATAGAATACTCTCCACAAAGCCCTACTCTGTCTGTCCAGAGCAGCTGGGAAGTCTCTTACCTTGCAAGGAGGGACATTGAAGGCTCGTGTCCTCAGATCCACTCTCTGAAAGGAGTCAATGAAGGGCAGGAGCAGAACCATGCCAGGTCCCTGGGGGGTGCGGATCCGGCCCAGTCGAAACACAATCATCCGCTCATAGGTGGGCACGATCTGTCCACAATGGCAAGGAAAAGAGTTGGAAGTGGGGGCTGACATTGTGGCTCAGTGGTAGAGTGCTTACCTAGCATGCGTGAAGCACTGGGTTCGATCCTCAGCACCACATAAAAATAAAATAAAGGTACTGTGTTCACCTACAACTAAAAAATATATTTAAAAAAAAAAAAGAGTTGGAAGTGGTCTGCCTAAGCTGGCCAGTGACATTTTCCCAGATCCCTCCTTCTCCCCTCTCCCCTTTGCTCGGTCACAATCAAGTATCCTTAACTGTTTTTAGATAAGAAAACCAAGGCTCAGAGAGGTCAGGCTTAGAGAGGTACTCAGAAATCACATAGCACCTGAGTGAAATAGGCACTATTTGAATGCAGTTCTGAATGACTCCAAAGGTCATATGTCTTAATCACCACACTGTACTAACTTGATTTTTTTTAAAGTAGTTTTTAGTTGTATATAGACACAATATCTTTATTTATTTTTATGTGGTGCTGAGGATTGAACTTAGTGCCTCCCGCATGCCAGGCAAACACGCTACCAGCCCCTAACTTTTTAGGGAAACTTCACCTTTGTTGTCTAAAGCTAGGCATGACTCACATCAGGAAACTGTCTGCCCTTGGATTAGCTGGGGGAAAGGCTGAGCTGTTGTAACAGCAAACAAAAGGCTTTGCCAACTTCAGGTCCCTGGAATCCTAAAGATGTTGAAGAAATTAAGAATTGAAGACCCAGAAATACACAGTAATTTGTCCAAGGTCACACGGTATTTATTTCAGTGGCATTTCAGAACTAGGATCTAGGATCATCAAAGAACTCCCTTTCAGATCACACAAACCTAGAGGCTTTCTAGAAAAGGTGACTATTGTCTTGGGCCACACAAAGAGGAAGGCCTGACAGGGCTTCCACCTTCACCACAGCTTGCAGGTATAGATCTATTACTTATCCTTTTTCCATCTATACCACCACTTGTTGAAAATGAGGCCTGGCTTCCTATTGCAAATTGCCTGCTGGGCCAGGTTGGATGTTTTATTTCTAATTTGGCCTAACCCAAAGGAAGGATGATCTGCCCAAGATATCTGTCCAGATCCCAGGACTCAGAAGTTTGGGAAGACTTCCTAATGGTTCTACTCCTTACTGATTCCCATGATGACAAGTCTGGGCCTCAGTTTTCTCATATTAAAGATGGAAAGAAAATTCTTGCCTTGCCCCTTTCATAGAGTTGTGATAACAGAATATGGAGAATTCATTCATCAATGCCAAAAACTTCAATATGACCTAACCACTCTAGGACTGACCCAGCCAGTCTTACCTTCAGGGCAAACCAGCCAGAAATGGGGAAGGTGATCATCAGCAGCAAGAACCCCAAGAAACTGATGAGGCCATGGCAGAGGCAGGAGGGCCAGCTTTGGGGTATATCTGGGGGCAAGAGAGAATAGGCAGTCAAGGAACACCAGATGGCCTGGCAGGACAGCTGTAAGTACAATGAGCTTGGTCAGGTGTACCCTTTGCCCACTTTACCCTTCTCACAGTTCTCAATCATATCTTTGGACACATGCTCATTCCCTCCTCCCATACATCAAAACTAATCTATCCCAAGTACAACCCTCACGAGACCTTATTCTTTGCTAGGCAAGTCTCTGAACCTGAGAATCCAATGCTGTCCTTATTGGACTGAGCAGGAATCAATCCCTTGTCTAATTTATACTGCCTACTCATGCCTGTCATGGAGCCAGGAGTACCTGGGCATCTTTAAATGTGTGCTGGCTTGAGCTGAATGCTGCTGGCATAACACATTCCTCTTCTACCAAATGCCCCAGAAGAACGCTTTTAAGGGATTCTTATGGAAACAATGCCTTAGCCTATAGGGATAGGGATACAGCATTAATTTCTCATTAATAGGAGCCTGAGATGGGGATAAAATTTTCTTTTCTACTCCTCACTCCATTTTAATGCCCTAAGAACCATCAAAAATGCATATTTCAATTCAAGCAGTTTGATGGTGGTGGTGGTTGGGGTGTGGAGGGGGGAGGTAGGAAGATAAGGCACATCCAAACTAAAGAGAGAACCAGGTGTCCAGGATGACAGAGAAAGCCCTAGAATCTGGGATGAGCTTATTCTCTGCTCCTCTTCTTCCAATCCTGGACAGGAAGCAGAAAGGAACCTCGGTTCCATCTTTCATGAAGCTCATGTCTCCTGGGTTTCCCAAGCCCCAGGACACCAAGGTTCCACTTCCTGCCTGACCCACTCTGACCCACTGTGACCTCTGCAGGAAAGAAATCCTTGGACAGGAGCAGCTGTCAGTAAGAAGGGTCAGGGAGGGACCAAACCTCCAAGGTCAGGCTGAGAAGTATAGGATCTGGCCTGTGGCCAAAGGAACCACAGAGAGCTTTGGAGCAAGACAGGGCGAGGACAGACAATGGATTGCTGAAGGCCTGCCTTTTTGTTCTGTGTATCTTCTCCAGCTACAAAGGAGATGGCAGGTCCCTGGGTTTCCACCCTGGGGTGAATATTCTTCCATTTCTCCACAGGCGCCTGTAGGGTGCTGATGACCTATGCATAATGGGAACTTGAAACCTATGCCCTGATAAAAGCCGAGGAGAAATGTGATGCGGTTAATTTCGGGAAGATGGAAGCTACGCTGGCTCTGAGGCTGCAGTGCCAGGCCCCTAGGGAGGGCAGATCAGCAGAAACACCCCAGCGCCGGGCCCAGCCCCCTCTCCACATTGCAAGTCGTTCCCCTTCTCGGTCCCTCCTCTGAGGGTGCAAGGCCGGCCGACTCCTTAGAGGCAGAGGGTTCCGGCCTGTGGGTACTGGCCAGTCTTCCCCTCTCCCGGGTTCGCCGTGCTGGGCGACCACTCACCGGACCCCGGACCCACGCCGCCCCGCTCTGGGGACAAGCAGCCCTTCTGCGAGCCCAGAAAGCCGAAGCTCGACTGCTGGAAGCGGTCAAAATCCCCCAAGGGCAGCGCCCGGTACCCGGACCTGCCGAGCATGATTCCTGACAGAGACACACCCCCGCGCCTCTGTGCGGCCACAACCTCTGCCGGCCGCCGCTTCCGGCTTCCCCGGCGTCACCACAGGCGGCGGCTGGGCACAGGAGCAGGAAGCCGACCCGGATCCGCGCCCGCTGTAGCATGGCGACCCCCTGCGCTGGGAGGTCCGAACTGCGGCCGCAGGCGTCGGGGCGTGGCCTGATTTCTTGGCAGCCCGCGGGGTCATTGCCACCTCCTCCCAGATCTTACCTGAACTTAGAAATTGAGGAGGGAAGTTGGGTTTCATAAGAGGACATTCAGGAGCCAAATCTCCAGAACAAAGGAAATGCTGTTTTCAGCCTTCTCAACACTCCCTGTCCAAACTCACGCAGGGAGCGAGGTCTTAATAGACTTAGGGTTTCTCTAGAACATACATCACAAAATAATTGCTCTCTGTCCCCACAGCTCAGCAAGCAGGGCCTGTCCCAGAACAGATCTCAGTACATATTGTTGAATGATGGTGTAGCCAGGTCACTATGGACAGAGTGGAGCGGGAAGGGCTGAACTTTGGCACCAAAAGAACAATTTCATGTGCAGACTCAGGGTGCAGAGTAGAAGGAAAGGATGGACTAAAGCTAACGGATCAGAGTCACCAGAGCATCACAGCACAACCCTTGATCCAGGCACCAAAGGAACTTGCCTCTCCATGTCTGTAGTTAACCCAAATGTAAATAGCAAATTTATTCTGAAAAGTGTTAACTTCCAACAGGATGTTGGGGCAGGCTGGGAGCAGGTTACCTTCCAAAACTACAATGAAACTAATAAAGTTTTCCCAGTTCTGTCTCCTTGGGCTTCTCATCACTCTCCACAGCTCACTACCAAATCCCTTCTGCATATAGCTACCCACGATATTTGGCTTTTCCTAGTTTGGTGGCCTGATTCTAAAGGCCTAGGGGACACTGACCAGGTGTGGAGGATATGGCATTCTCCTGAAGGCTCTCATGGTTCCTGGATGTTGGATCTCCCTCCAGCTCTGGACCCTACACATACACTTCAGATTCTACTATTTACAAGAGCAATGCCTCGACACAATCTCTTCTAGTCTATTCCATGTTGGAACTGAGCACAGGATGTGCATGCAGGGGCCAGTGCAGTGGTTGGGATGGTTTGAAGTTTGAAGCCAGACATTGGCTCAGTGAAGCTGCCTGGAGTTGCACCCTTCTACCTTTACTGGCTAGGATCTGGCCTGCTTTTCATCAGCCAAGAGTTAACCTACTGTCTCCTTAACCTCTTCATACCTGCTCCATACACACTTTCTTCCTTTCTCCCACCATCTCAGATGCACAAGCCTCCCCAACTGCCAAACAAGACATCATCCTGATCCCCTCATCTCCAGTAAGTGTCCTCCCAGTCTGCATCCCATAGCCTCTGAAAAACCAGCCTCTACCTCAGAGCAAAGCCTGTCCAAGGAAGGGACATGACCTTTGTCCTTGGAAAGACGCACAGAGCACTCCTAGGCACATTCCCACCCTGCTAAGTTATTTATCTACAAATGAGATCTGCTGCGCCAGGTGTCCCTGACTCAGTCAGGCTAGGTGGGGACCCATAGCAACCCCCTAGCAGCCAGCAATCAGCATGAGACAGGGAAATACCTGGGATGCCAGATGACCCTCCCAGTAGTTTATGGTGTTGGGAAACCATGTAGTTCAGCATGAACATGCCTCTTGGCTTAAACCAATCAGTTCAAATGAATCCCCCTCTTGTAGTAACCAATCACCCCTACCCAACTTGTTCCCGGCCAGTGAATGTGCTAATCATGTTTTAGAGTTGTTGTTTGATTTTCCCGCAGTGTGTGATGATTTGCTAAGAGATGCTATGATGTATGTGGGGGTCCCTGCCTTCTCCAAAGAATGTATAAAACTGCTGCAAACCCTGGGCACGGAGGCCTCTCAGCGACACCAGTTGCTGTGTGCACGCGGAGGACCAAGCTAGCTCGCAATAAACACCTCTTTGCTGCTTACATCGATCTTGGGTCTCTGGTGGTCTTTTGGGGGTCCCGAATTCGAGCATAACACCCCTCTCCTAGGATGGTCCAACTAGGTTGTCAGAGAGACTGTCCCAACACACACTGCTGATAGTGAGATTCCTGGGTTCCAAACCCTTCACAAACTTCCTATCACTTACAAAACTGGTCCAGTCTCTTTAGTACACTCCTCATGAGTTCCCTCTTAAATCTGAAAGTGGCCCAAACTACCTCGCCAACAGGCTCTCCTGTTTCAAACCTCCATACCTTTTGCCCAGCTGTTGTTTAGTGTTCCCCACCCCTCTGCAGCCCCGCCCCGCCCAGTCCCTTCATCCCTGTTGAATTCCCGCTGCTTGCTCAAATCCCAAATGCATAATCTCCTTTCCAGCCAGTCCCCATACTACGCGACAGTCTCCTTTTGGGGGCTGGTTCTTCTACTAGATCTGGGGTTCTTTGAAGCAAGGGCCGTGTGTGGTTCATCTCGGGATCCCAGGGCTCCAGGTACCAGCTAGGGTGGGCACAAAGCTAGGTCAAAGGTGAGATGTATGAATGACTCAAAGCCTCTCTGGCGGAATGCTCAGCCTCGCTTTCTCTATCAGAGCTCAGCCACGCCTCCCCTGCTGGCCTCCCAGCTCCGCTCCAGTCTTCAAAATCCACAGCCCGCCTCTCCGCGCCTAGGCCCGCCCCAGCCCTGTCTCACTTCCTCTCCGGAGGCGGGCCCTCCGCCGGTACCTACCCTTTGGAGACAGTTCAGGAGACCGCCTTCTGACTGACGCCACGAGTTGGGTTTCTTCTCCCGCCCTCCAAGATCCAAACGGAGGATCCAAACGGAGAATCGAAACTGCGCTGGGCTGTATGCAGCAGGAACCTGCAGCCGCCGGATCTCCTGGCCTCCAGCAGGACCCTGTCCTGCCTCATACGCCCACCATGCCTCCCCCGGAGTCCCCCTCCGGAGGCCACCAGCCCAGCCACAGCCCAGCAGAGGTATTAATGGGTTTGGGGATGAAGGGTTTTAGGCTTTGTTGGTTTGCTGTGGTGGGAGAGTTGCGAAGAGTAATGAAGATCGAGGCCAGGTATCTTAAAGAGTGACACTAAGAGCGAAGGCCAGACATCAGGATCCTGACCCTCTTGGCTGGGGTAGCCAAAGGGCCTGATAGAGTAGGAAGGGGAACCAAGATGAGCTGGGGGGACCGATTTGGACTGTGGTTCTCCACTGAACAGTTTGGTCAGTGGCAGCTGACTGGCCTTTCCACTTACCCTGGAGCCTTGCCTTTTCCCAGATGATGGACCTCAGGTTAGGGAGAATGCAGGTAGTAGCCCTATTGCACTGACCTGGAGCTAGAGGCATGCCCCAGGCTCGGCAAAAACCACAACACCCAAGTTTCCAGATCAGAAGTGAAGAACTGTAACCCAGAAGGGAGAGGTTACCGTGGCCAAGGCCTAGCTCCAGCTCATGTGGTTTCTTCTTAAGGAAGTCTCCCAGTCCTTCTCTCGGAACACCCTTCCTGGCCACCTCTGACCCACAAGCGGGTTTGTTAAGTCCTTCTCCTGCAAGTTTTGCCTTAGCCTTCTCCTGGGGACCCTCACCTTCACCCTCAAAGGAACTACTTGGCACCTTGTTCTATGTTTTTCCGGGCCCTTTTGCTCCTCTTCATGAGAGCACAAATAACATCATATTGCTGTAATTTTTATTACTAACATTTTAAAACTAAGAATAACATTACTTAACAATACTGGTTAAAATTTATGAGTACTTCTCATGTGCCAAGTACTGTATTGAGAGCACTTTTGTGGGACTTTTGTGTGTGTGTGTGTGTGGTGAAATACACATACCATAAAAGTTACCATATTAACCATTTCTAACTGTATAATTCTGTGACATTAAGTTCATTAATAATGTTGTGTAACCATCACCACCATCTATTTCCAGAACTTTTTCATCACCCTATAAACCTGTACCATTTAA